GGGTACTAATTTGGGTTATCTTCTGTCACCTGTCTCTTCAGCCTCCTGGATCAGATTCCAGAAATATTTGCAGACACAAGGGAAACAGAGACAGTGTTTGCACCGGTTATCCAGGCTGGGATGGAGGCCCTGAAGGTAAGGCCGGAGTCCCAGACAACTTCCTGTCTTGGTTTCCTCTGACCATCTTTGGACCCCTGGAATGCTGTATTCATTTTCTTCAGTGATTGATGCTGCCCAGTAAGTCAGCTTGTCTGACACTTGGTACTGAAGTGAAGAGGGAAGGGATGAATAAATAATGATGGGTGAACAAAGGAAAGAATGAACAAGTACGCTGTCTTCTTTCCTAGGCTGCCGAGTGTGCAGGGAAGCTGTTTGTGTTCCACACGTCCTTACCTATTGCAGAGGCCCCAGGGAAGCTGAAGAACAGAGATGACAGGAAGCTGATCAACACAGACAAAGAGAAGGTGTGGGAATGGAAGGAGGAGGGAGGCCTTTCCATTACAGAAGGTGATGACACTTCCCAGTATCCACTTGTAACTTTCTTAAGGGACTGTATTCATATGTCACATCTGTGACTTTAGCCTGCTGCTCTTTTCCCACATTATCTATCCCATTTTGACTTAAAGCCTGTGATGGACTTTTTCTTAAAGAGCACTTTTTACTACTGTTATAAACTCCTGTTTATAACTACTACTGTTAGATCTGAAGTCTTAGAAGTATTTGAGTATCCCATATTACATTATCACATACATAGTTTTGAAAGAGGGCAGAGCTGTTTGAATATTTCTTCTGCTCCCCCCAGACTCTGTTCCAGCCTCAGACGAGTGTGTATCAGACTCTGGCCAAAGAGTGTGTGGCCCAAGGCTGTTGTGTAGACCTCTTCCTCTTCCCTAACCAGTATGTGGATGTGGCCACACTCTCAGTTGTGCCCCAACTCACTGGTGGCTCCATCTACAAATATGCCTGCTTTCAGGTACAGTGTGGGATTCTGGTTGGCAGGTGGCAGCAGGGCTGGGAGTGCTTCCATGGGGAGAGGCTGCTTAGCTGCTGACTCATGAGTAAGAATTTTGTTGCTAGTACACAGTGACTCATGCCCTTAATCCAAGCCACTTGGGAGGCCGAACCAGAATGATCACAGATTTGAGGCCAGCCTGGGCAATTTAATGAGACCCAGTCTCAAAATAAAATTTAAAAAGGATTAGAAGTGTAGCTCAGTGGTCAAGTGCTTGCCTAGAATGCACCAAGACCATGGTTTCTATCCCTATGACCACAATTAAAAAAAAAAGAATTGTGCTGGAGGAGTGTAAAGTGAACCCTAAGAATGGTGTGGCAGTTAAGACTGGATCTTGGAAACAGCCTGGCCCTACCATTTGCTGGCTCTCTGACATAGAATAAATTACTTACTTCTTCCTTTGTTCTTTCATCTGTAAAATGGGGTTTTAATACTTACTAAGATTTGTGTACAGAATTAATTATATGTAAAGCATTCTGTATGGCAACTGGCATGTACCTGGATGCTTAAAAGCTGTCACTGTCATCATCATTCATCCCTCCTAATGATTAAATAGGCTTATGGAGCGAAGAGGGCAGGGAGACTGACTGCAGAGTGAGCTCTGTGCTCAGTGATGTGACTCTGGGCAGGTGGAGAATGACCAGGAAAGGTTCCTGAGTGACCTTCGTCGTGATGTACAGAAGGTTGTTGGCTTTGATGCTGTGATGAGGGTTCGCACAAGCACTGGTAAGTCTGGTTAAAGAGCAGGTGACAGCAAATCTGAGAGGGAGGCACATGGCACCTGTCATGCCTGACCCTGTCCCTGTTGCCTCAGGTATCCGTGCTGTAGATTTTTTTGGCGCTTTCTACATGAGCAATACGACAGATGTGGAGCTGGCTGGGCTGGATGCGAACAAGACAGTGACTGTGGAGTTCAAGCATGATGATCGGCTTAACGAAGAGAGTGGAGCCCTCCTGCAGGTGGCAGGCGGGAGGAGGCAGGGGCTGGCGAGGAAGTGCTGGGAAATAGATAAGCGGGTAGAAAGGACTGGAAGAAGAGCTGGGGGAGGAGTGGCTCATGCTTTTCTTTGGGTTTAATACAGCAAAGGGGCAGCTTCTGAGAATTTTTGTGAGGGAGGGGTGTGAGCTCCTCCTTTCTCCTTCCCTAGTGTGCCCTGCTTTATACCAGCTGTGCAGGGCAGCGTCGGCTCCGCATACACAACCTGGCCCTGAACTGCTGCACCCAGCTAGCTGATCTGTATCGGAACTGTGAGACTGATACGCTCATCAACTATATGGCCAAGTTTGGTGAGAGTGGAGGCAGGGCAGGGTGGGCTTGGGGCTGAGATGGTCCAGATTGGTGAGCGATTCAGCATTCCCGGGTAGTGTGATGCTGGGAACACACATGTGATGGGTGGCTGACAGTAGTGCTACCTCCCTTCCTCATCCAGCATACCGGGGTATCCTGAACAGCCCCGTGAAGACTGTGCGTGACACTCTCATCACCCAGTGTGCCCAGATTCTGGCATGTTACAGAAAGAACTGTGCCAGCCCCTCTTCTGCAGGACAGGTAGGGGCAAGTATGCTAGTGGAGGGATTAGGGGGATGGACAATGTTTTGCATATGGGAGAATTTCTCATGTTCATTGACTTTATTTTGATAAAACCACTAGTTGATCCTTCCTGAGTGCATGAAGCTACTTCCAGTTTACCTGAACTGTGTATTGAAGAGTGATGTCCTACACCCTGGAGCTGAAGTCACTACTGACGACCGCGCCTATGCTCGACAGCTGGTTACCTCTATGGATGTGGCTGAGACCAATGTCTTCTTCTACCCTCGGCTTCTACCACTGGTGCGACTGAAAGTTAGAATCGGAGACACTGCTTTGAGAAAAGAACTTCTATGTTTTATTTCATTTCACACACAGAGACCACTGAACTGGTGTCTGGGAACTTACTTACCTTCTAAGTTCTGTGTATATGTGGAAGGGAGCAGGTCTGTCTATGGCTCTTGGTGACCTTTTGCCTCTTTGCTTTTGTCTAGACAAAGTCTCCTATTGAGAGTACCACTGAACCACCAGCAGTTCGAGCATCTGAAGAGCGTCTAAGCAATGGCGATATATATTTACTGGAGAATGGGCTCAACCTCTTTGTCTGGGTGGGAGCAAGTGTCCAACAAGGTGTCGTCCAGAGCCTTTTCAATGTTGCCTCCTTCAGTCAGATCACCAGTGGCTTGGTGAGGGCTGGGAGTCAAGGGTGTGGAATAGTTTGTGATGTGAGCAGGAACCCTTTATGTATCCGGCAGTCCAGTACAGTACTTGTGAGGTGGAGGGGAGGGTGCTCTCATTGTTCCAGGTTTGTTTCTGGTAATGTGTAACTCTGTGCTGCCCCTTAACTGAACTCAGAGTACTTTAAGGATGAATGAATTTTTGTATTTCAGAGTGTCTTGCCAGTTCTGGATAATCCACTGTCCAAGAAGGTTCGAGGTCTCATTGATAGCTTAAGGGCACAGAGGTCACGGTACATGAAGGTAACACTGATCAGAACACTGTTCTTACCTTTTAAACTCTCACTTGGGAGGTGGGTGGGGAGTGAATGAGTGAGGAGGTCATGGGATTCTGGGTGTGCTGTTTCCTTTGGCCCTGTCTTACCACTACACATTCTGGTCATAGCTTATCGTGGTGAAACAGGAAGACAAGATGGAGATGATGTTCAAGAACTTCCTGGTGGAAGACAATAGCCTGAGTGGGGGAGAATCCTATGTGGACTTTCTCTGTCATATGCACAAGGAGATTCGGCAGCTACTGAGCTAAAGCAAGTGGGTAAATGGCACAGGGTCCTAGGCCAGCTTCCAGGAAGCACCCCAGGATGGCAGAGAAATTGGGACAGTTCCATATCTTATAAGTCATTGTAAGCTGACTTCAGTCTCTTTGGGGGGAGGGGGAGATATAAGGAGACACCTTCTTTCTGGGCTCAAGTATCCTACCACTGTCATGTCCTGCTGATGGAAGGTGCCCCATCCCTCACTCTGCCCTCCTTTTCCTGCTAATCCTGTCGTAATGAATGTAGTTTCTCAGTTCACTGTATGATTTGGTGTTGGGGGTTTGGAGGCACCCAGACTCTGGCAATGTGTCCTTTTGGACCAACCTCCGAAAGGAGAAGCAGGCAGAGGCAAGGAGGAGTATGGGATCCCAGGCTTACTACAGGGGGTGGCTAATTCAGCTCAGTGTCATCAACAACTTCCTATATTAGGGATAAAATATCCAGGTGCAAAAGAGCTGGTATATAAATGATCGGTGGTGGAGAGAAAAGTGGTCCTTCTGGGCCAGGGGGTCAGCAGACACATTAGTTACGTGGAGGGTGGTTAGTAAGCGTTCACTCTGCTCCCACTGCGTGTGCTGTCCCCTGCAATGATTGCTGATCACTTCGTGGGTAGAGGCACATCTTAACACACTTGGGAGAGGTCCCAGCCTCCTTTCCAGCTGGAGAGGCCCCGACACTGGATGGTTCTGTAGGGAGCCTGATCATCAACTTGCAATACCTCACAGAGCCAGCCCACATCCACCTAGCTCCCACTGGAAACACCACTTCTCCAAGCTGGGGTTGCTGGAGAGAGGCAGAAGCAGTTGGAGCCCTGTCCTCTCCTTCTGAAACACCACTTGGGCATTGGTATGGACTGAATGGCTGACAAGTTACTTTCCAACCCAACTGTGTGGGGCAGGACAAGGGCTAGGATGGACGGCGGCCAGGCTTGCCTGCTCCCAGCCTAGGTTGCCCCTGCTCTGGACCTCTCATTTCTCTTCATTGGTTTATTTTTCAATGCATCTTTAATTTGTAAAGAAATAAAATAAAAATAAATTGTAACCTGTAGCTTTGTCTTACTCTGGATGGTCTCGGGTAAGCCTTGCCCTCTAGTGAGCAGAGCTGCGCATGCGCCGTGTATCCTAGTGGCTTAGGACCTCGTCCCCTCGCGACTTGCCACTAGGCGGGGTCTGGTGCTGTCGGGAGGGATGACGACTGCAGGAGTGGACATGGCGGCCGATCACGTTAGGGCCGTGCTGGCCGCCCTGGTGATGCTCAGTGTGTGTGAGGCCAGCGGCCTTGGACCCGCGGCGCAGGGCGAAGCCAGCGAGGAGGCAGCGTGGGTAGAACCGTGGGACGGATCGGTGTTCCAGCCGCCCTCTCCGCTGGGTGCCGTAGGGGTGTCGTGCCAGCCTGGAGCCCCGCGACCGGAGCAGGAGGAGACTGCGGACTTGCCAGTGCTCCTATGGTGGAGCCCAGGGCTGTTTCCCCACTTTCCCGGCGACTCGGAGCGCATCGAATGCCCGCGCGGCGCGTGCGTGGCTTCCCGGGACCGAAGGATGCGGGCGGACTTGCGGACGCGGGCGCTGCTTTTCTACGGTACCGACTTCCGCGCCTCGGAGGCGCCACTCCCGCGTCTGGCGCACCAGAGCTGGGCCCTCCTGCATGAGGAGTCGCCTCTCAATAACTTCCTGTTGAGCCACGGCCCGGGCATTCGCCTCTTCAACCTCACTGCCACCTTCAGCCGCCACTCGGACTACCCGCTGCCGCTGCAGTGGTTGCCCGGGGCCGCCTACCTGCGCCACCCGGCTCCTCCGCTCCACGAGCGTGCGGAGTGGCGCCGCTACGGCTACGCGCCGGTGCTCTACCTGCAGTCTCACTGCGACGTGCCCGCAGACCGCGACCGTTACGTGCGCGAGCTCATGCGCTACATCCGGGTGCGTGCGTGCGGCTGGGGCCGTGGGATGGCGGGAGGTGAGCGGGCGGGGGCGCCTGGGATCCGGGGATGTGGGGCCACCAGCTGGCTCTAGTGACGCCGCCCTGTACTCCGCCTAGGTGGACTCGTATGGGAAGTGCCTACAGAATAAGCAGTTGCCGACTGCGCGGTTGCAGGATACATCCACTGCCACCACTGAGGATCCAGAGCTCCTGGCCTTCTTGTCCCGTTATAAGTTCCACCTGGCCCTCGAAAATGCCATCTGCAATGACTACATGACCGAAAAACTGTGGCGCCCCATGCACCTGGGTGCTGTGCCAGTGTACCGCGGCTCTCCCTCTGTGAGGGACTGGATGCCCAATAACCACTCCATCATCCTTATTGATGACTTTGACTCCCCTCAGAAACTAGCGGAGTTCATTGACTTTCTGGACAAGAATGACGAAGAGTATATGAAATACCTGGCTTACAAGCAACCCGGGGGCATCACCAACCAGTTCCTCCTGGATAGCCTAAAGCAGCGGGAGTGGGGAGTAAACGATCCTCTACTTCCTAACTACCTTAATGGCTTCGAATGTTTCGTCTGTGACCATGAACTGGCTCGGCTAGACGCAGAGAAGGTCCATGCTGCTTCTTTTGGGGACATTCCTGTTCCAGAGCCTCACATTGCCCAGTCCTCACACATGGACTGCCCAGTGCCTACACCTGGCTATGGCAAGGTGACAGAGATTCCTGAGAATGACAGGTAGGGGTTACTCACATTGGCCTGAGCTGTTGTCAGATCAAATTACTTCTTTGCTTATGGTGAGCCAGAAGCTAGCACTTAGGTATTAAGAGGAGCAGGAGGAAATTTTGACACGGGTTCATTCTGCCTACAAGGGGTGAAGTGAGGCAAACTGAAAAAGATGAAGATGAAAATATAAGAGGTGACAACACATGAAAATCAGCTTATGTGAACAGTGTTTGTAGTAGCAGTCAAAAAAACACCTGAACCAGAGCCGAGGGCCTGTGCAGAGAGGTTGATGAGGGGGAGAGAGAAGGGTGGGTAGATGAACTGGGGCAAGGCAATAAATAACTCCATATCCAGATTCAAAATTTTGGAGTGACCTTAAAAATCAACCTCATGATCAGGCGTGGTGTTTGAGGCCAGCCTGCACTGCATAGAGAGCCTGTCTCAAAAAAAAAAAAAAAAAAAAAAAAAAATCAACCTCAGCAACTTAAGCACCTTCTATATGGTGGGGGAGGGGATATAAAGGCCCCCCCACCCCACCCCTTTTGGTACTAAGGATGGAACTCAGGGCCTCTGGGAATACTAGGCAAGCTTCTCTACCACTGAACTACATTCTCTCAACCTAGGATGAGACAAGCATTTTGAAAGTGTTTTTGTTTCGTTTTGTTTTTGATCTCAGTGCTGCTAGGGAATGAACCCAGCACCTTGCACGTGCTGTGTAGGTGCTCCACCACTGAGTTACATGCTCATCTCTTCACTTTTATTTTGAGACAAGGTCTTATTATGTAACTCAGGCTGGCCTTGAACTCATGATGATCCTACTGCCTCAACCTCCCAAGTGCTGGGATTGCAGGTGTGCACCACTACGTCTGCTTTAGGCTTCCTTTGGATCGAACTCACAACCTCATGCTTGCCAGGCAGGTGCTTATGCCGCTGAGCTAAATCCCCAGTCCTCCTTTCACTCTTAAAAGTACTTTAATTTCAGGCCAGATAGGGTGGAGCACACCTGTAATCCTAGCTTGCTTAGAGGCTAAAGTACGATTGTAAATTTGAGCTTGGACTATGCAATTTAGTGAGACCCTGTCTCAAAATAAAATATGAAAAAGGGCCAGGAATGTGGCTCGATGCAAAGGCAGGCTCTGAATTCAGTTCCCAAGACAGATAGACAGATACACACACACACACACACACACACACACACACACACACACACACACAAAACCTATCTCACACACACACAAAACCTATCTTGATTTGGTTGTGTTCACCAGGGACAGAATTGAAGGAATGTTTTCAAAAGACTGATAATTAGGGGCTGGGGATTTTAGATCAGCGGCATAAGTGCCTGCCTTGCAAGCAGACAGTCGTGAGTTCAATCCCCGGTACCGATAAAAAGGAAAAAAGCAAAAAAAAAAAAAGACTGATAATTAACAATGATGGGCAGTATGGTTGGAAAGGAAGTAAGCTACTGTAGTAGGTAGCACAAAAGGTTGACATTGCTGAATGAAGTCTGTGGGAAATGGAGTGGGAAAATGTGGAAGCCATTTGCAGCAAGCCACATCTTTTGAAGGAGAGGTGATAAGATTCAGTGGAGAAAAAGAGGCTTAGATAGTGGTTGGCTGAGCCCTGGCTGGACAGTGGATGGCAGCAGAGTGCTGCTCATACACAGTATGCTGCTGGTGGTATAATCTGTATAGTTTCTGTTGTGCCTAATACTAAGACTTAATAGAGGAAAGATATGAAACATTAAGAATGTAAATATTTGTAGCTGGTCACAGTGGATTAGGCCTGTAATCTCAGCTACTTGGGAGACTGAGGCAGGAGGATTATAAATTCACATAGGCAACTCAGTGGGATCATGTCTTAAAATATTTTTTAAAAGTTCCTGTGGATGGGGCTAGGGATTTAGCTCAGTGGCATAAGCACCTGCCTGGTAAGTTTGAGGTTGTAAGTTCGATCCCTGGTATCACACACACACACACACACACAAAAAAAAAAAAAAAAAAAAAAAATTCCTGGGGATGAGGGACCAGGGATTTTGCTCAGTGGCAAAAGTTCTGGGGATGACCAGGCATAGTGGTGCATGTTTGTAATCCCAGGACTCAGGAGACTAAGGCAAGATGACTGTTGTGAGTTTCAGGCTAGTCTCAAACCAACCAAACTAAACCATACCATACCAAACCAAAATAAAGCAACATAACACAACTGCTGGGAGTGCAACTCAGTGGTAGAGCCAGGAAGCAGCAAGTCAGTTATTTTAACACATCGGGTGGACTATGTGGTACCTTTGTGTTTGTGGCTTCCTTCCTGTTATGTTACTAGATTTACCTCCTGTTTTTTTTCCTTAACAGTAGAGCCTTGTCCTAGCCAGATACCATGTACTTGTTGCTTAAGATTTCTTTTGCCAGGCCGGGGATTTAGCTCAGTGGTACAAGTGCCTGCCTGGCAAGTGCAAGGTTGTGAGTTCCATCTCTTGTACCAAAAAGAAAAAAAGGAAAAAAAAAAATTGCCCCATAGAAAGGTAGGATTCATACTCATGCTGTGGTTCCATAACCTACACTCCCATTTTGTTATTTCAGCTGGAAGGAGATGTGGTTGCAAGATTACTGGCAAGGACTGTACCAAGGGGAAGCCCTGACTGCCATGATCCACAACAATGAAACACAGCAGAGTAAATTTTGGGATTACCTACATGAGATCTTCATGAAAAGGAACCAAAATCTCTAACCTTTACTTTGGAAGACCTAAGGAGTTCTTATTCCACCATGGCACATAAGGAGCATTCACTGCACAAGTCTCTAATAAACATTGTCTTATCATGGATTCAATTATATCCACCAATATTTTATCTTAATGATGTGTAATAAAGTCTCAGCCTATGATAAAAGAGCTTCTCTCTCAGCAGAGAGGGAAGCATCCAGGTCTCCGTTCAGTGGGAAAGAGAAACCTGAAACACTCATTTGACTCAAGGTGCTGTTTCACCGCTTCATTTGTGAGGTAAGATGGGCCCGATTATAGTGTAAAAATTCTGCTCCATTCTCCAAACCCCTGCTATTCAGTAGTTCCCCCAAAATCTCTTCCCAAGCTTTATGAACTGTTATGTTTGTGGAAAAGCACAATCTCTGGTGGGTTTTATTCCGGTTTTCTTTGTTCCTGAGATAGGGTCTCAGTATGCTGCCCAGGCTGGCCTCCAATTCCTGGGCTTAAACAGTCCTCCCACCTCATCCTCTGTATGCATAGCTGGCACTAAGGTACACACCACTGCTCTTGGCTCATGGACTTGGGGTTTTGTTATATTATTTTAATTGCCTTTTGTGTCAGTTTTTTTAATTAATTTTTTTTGAGACAGCATCTTTTTATGTAGTTCAAGTTGGTTTGAACTCACTATGTAGCTGAGGCTGGCCCTGAACTTTGGTGATCCTCCTGCCTCAGCCTCCCAAGTCCTGGGATTACAGGCATGTGCCCACCATGCCCAGCTAATATCCTAATTTTATTGTATTTTGTTTTTGTTTTTGTTTCTGAGACAGGGTCTCACTATGTAGCTCAGGCTGGCCTTAACTCACTGTGTAGTCTAGGCTGGCCTTGAAAACTCATGGCAATCCTCTTACCTCAGCCTCCTGAGGGCTGGGATTACAGGTATATACCACCTTGCCCAGCAACATTTTTATTTTTAATGAGTTTTTCTTTTTGGTTTTAGGACCTTTCCCCCAATTTCAGATGGAGATACACAAATCTTGCCATCACTGTTATTGCTAGTTTGCTTCTTATTTAGAATTTCTTCTCATTTTGTGAATGGGTTCAGTAGCTAATGTATGCCATGTCAGTTTAATATCATGCCCTATTTTTAAATCAAAGATGGAGACTAAGGCTGGAAATTATGGCAGAAAATGTTGAATAGCTAACTTACACATATTACTAACAATCTTCCATACAACTTTACTGAGACTTTTTTTTTTTTTTTTCCATACAGGGGATTGAACTCATGACCTTGTACTTGCAGGGCTGGCACTTATGCTGCTCAGCTAAACCCCTAGCCCCCTGAGACTTATTTTTTGATGGAGCCCCACCATGGTCCTAAACTCAAAGACAAGAAAAGGCAAGAGAAGAAATTTAAGCCACCACAAGGGAATGGCCAAAGAAAAGCCTTAGACAGACTTGGGGATGCAGCCAAACTCTTCTATTTCTGTAGTTTAAACATATAGCCTAATGAATGACATCATGACTTTTTCATAGGGTACTGGTACAAGAAAGGATACCTTGGAAATTAAAACTGCAGTAATTATAAGATATTAATGTATTATCACTCAAGAAATTCTATAGCTTATCAATATATCTGATTATAAATTTATATATATATCCATATCTATGTCTATAACTGTATACACACACACACACACACACACACACACACACACAGAGGGATATACACATCAGGTGCTTCATCAACTAAGATCCATGCTTAATATTGTGACATCTAAGGATAAGAACAAGAAAAGCTATAGTTTAGGCTAGATTCATTGTCTTTCTTATTTCCTGTTGGGAATTAAACTCAGGGCCTTGCATATGCTAAGTATGTGCTCTGCCTTGAACTATATTCTTACTTTCATTTTATTTTTAAAAATATGTCCTTCATAATAGTGTGAAGGGTTTGCTTAACCTGTTTGGTCTCTTTTAAAAAAGAATGAGAGGAGGACAGACCTTCAAAAATACACTTATGGGGCTGGGGATTTAGCTCAGTGGCATAAGCACTTGCCTTGCAACCCTGTGGTTGTGAGTTTGATCCCTGGTATCAGTAAAAATACAAAAAAAAAAAAAAAAAAATGATGGCTGCATGCCTGTAATCCTATCACTGAGGAGGTTATGGATCCCTGTGAATTCGAGGCTAGCCTGAACTGCATAGCAAGACTGTCTCAAACAAACAAACAAACCACTTGTGCTATGTGTAGTAGCACATGCCTATAATTCCACCTACTCTGGCAGCTAAGGCAGGAGGATTGTTGTGAGACTGACCTGCCTGGGCTACAAAGTGAGCTCAAGGCCAGCTTTACCTTTTGAGGTAAAGCTGGTACCTTTTTGAGACTCTGTCTCAAAAAGACAAAACATTTTTTTAAGAAGGGTTGGGGATGGGCTGGGGATATAGCTCAGTGGCATAGTGCCTGCCTGGCACTATGAGTTTGATTCCTAGTACCAAAAAGGCAAGGTTTGAGGATATAGCTCAGTGATAGAGCGCTTGCCTACCATGTGTGAAGCCCTGTGTTTAATCCTCAAAAATCAGGGAAAAAAAGTTAAAATTTTATATTAGTTGGCACTCACAAAAGAAATCATAGGAGTCTGTTTTCTAAGATTGCAATCTTTTTCAGAGTCGATGCTTATCGACAATGCAAAACATATACTGCACAAGTGCAAATCTAAATTAGGACTCAGTTTTGGGTTTTTTTTGAACTGGGGATCGAACTCATGACCTTGCACTTGCCAGGCAGATGCTTATGCTGTTGAGCTAAATCCCCAGCCCAGGACTCAGATTTTATTATGTATAATGAAACAGGTAAGTGGGGCAGGGGTTATAGCTCAGTGGCTTAAGCACCTTGGCAAGCACAAGGTCCTGAGTTATATTTCTGGTACAAAAAAACAAAAATAAGCTAAGCGATAGTTATGCGAGGCACAGAATCTCCTTCTCTTTCATTTAGGACAACTAGTTATTCCTTTAGCACTTTTTTTCCTTTTTTTTTCTGGTACCAGGGATTGAACTCATGACTTCACACTTGCTAGGCAGGCAGTTGTGCCACTGAGCTAAATCCCCAGCCCCTCCTTTAGCACTTTTATGTACAAAGTGAGCCACTTGTTCATGAATGGTTGTTGCTGGAGATGTAGGCCTGCTTTGTGCCCAGTGAGTCTCAGACTTTCCCCTTTATTCTTTTTTTTTTTTTTGGTACTAGGACTCAAACTTAGGACCTGGTGCTTGCCCAGCAGGTGCTGTGCCCCTGAGCTATACTCCTGGCTTGGTTATTTTTTTTTTTATCGGTACAGGGGATCGAACTCAGGACCGCTTGCTTGTAAGACAGGTTCTTACGCCGCTAAGCTAAATCTTCAGCCCCTGGCTTGGTTATTCTTAACATGTAACTACAGTAGTCACAGAAAAGACAGAGTCAGGTGCTACAATTCCACCTGGGAAACAACTAGGATTAACCACACTTAGGGACTAAAGCTTTGCTTTTCTTATGGGAAGGAAAGCAATGTGAATTTTCTCTAGTTTGGGGATCTGTCTGCTCCATCCTATGTAGCAGCAGCGTACTACTCATTGCAGTTGTAGTTATTGTTGGTAGAAGTGTCTTGACAGTCATGTTTTTACTTCTACTGCTGGAATGAGAGGGTGGAGCACAGGCTGATGTTTTGATTGCAAGTATTGATATTTTATATTATCATGAGTTTTATTTTGTATAATAAACTGCTTTTTAAACATATCTTCTGCTTGGTTATTTTTTAGGGATGGGCATAATAAAGTTGAAAACTTGTAAAAATATTTCAAGCAGTTTTTTATGTAACAAGTGTTTATTTATTTGCACTATTCTAAGCACTGGGAATTCAGCAACGGACAGGATATTACCTTGTCTCTTGGTGCTTACATTTTACAGTGAGTATTGGGAGTTGACAAGGCCATACACAGTCAATTCAGGTGTGAAATAAGACTTTAAGGGAAGGAGTCAGCCATGCAGGTATCAATAGGTAGATTCTGAATGTGACAAAATTTTTTTTTTGTACTGTGAATCAAGCTCAGTACCTTATGCTTGCAAGGCAGAAGATGTGCCGCTGAGTTATATCCTCAGCGACAAATTACTTTTAACACTAAATTTACACATCCAAGTATTTAAATATTGCTACTCTAAAATACTTATTAACTACTACCTCGTTCAAATTATGCTTCCATTATCAGAGTCATTTCTTGGAGTTCATCTGGCAATGTCTTGGGAACTCAAGACACCGTGTTTGGATGAGTGTGCCTCCTTCTAACCCCACCCCATGAGCCCAGGGTGTACTGAGCTAGGTGCCTACCCCACTTCACTCAGCCAGCATCTTGTAAATTGCCTAGGCTTAGATTTGGGACCCTCCTGCCTTAGCCTTCCAGTGTGATGGATTTACAACCACTAAACCCGGCTAACTGAATTTTGTAAACAGCCAACTCACTTAAGAACTAAGTCTGGTGGTCGGGCATGGTGGTGCATGCCTGTAATTCCAGCAGTCAGGAGGCTGAGGCCCCGAGTTTGAGGCCATCCTGAACTACAGTGAGAGGTCTTTTTTTAAAAAAGCCAGTCAAATTTAGCGGGGGGGGGGGTGGTATACCAACTTTAGTGACACTAATGTTAATAAGTTCTGATAACCCACTGCCATCGGACCAGCCGAGAGGTCTTGAAAACAAAACAAAACCAAGAATTAAGGCTGGTGAACCATCACAAAGTCTATAAATAAGAATGACGGTATCAAATAGCTTTAGGAGACTGTCAAGACGATTAAAATGACTTCAAAAGGCGTTTAACCCTCATCATTCCCATCATTACCCACGTGGCATTGTTGGTTTATTAAAACAACGACTTAGGGGCTGGGGATTTAGTTCAGCGGCATAAGCGCGTGCCTTGCAAGCGCGCAGTCGTGAGTTGGATCCCTGGTACCGATTTTAAAAACAAACAAAAACAACTTCCCCAATCTCTCAGGGCTCATAGTTTGTTTAAATCCCATCATCTTTGCCCTTGTCTATGACAATCACTCTCTAGGCCAGCTGGTCACCATCAGAAACGAGGGTCCACTTATGGAGGAAGGGGCATTTCCTGGATGTCCCTGCTTCTTACTGCCCCCAGACTTAAATGCTCTCACGAGTGAGCGAGCATGAAAGTTCGAATCTTCTAACCTGCTGACGGCGAAGGACCGGCGAACATTCGAACCCTGAGTGCTCGCTACCACATCCAAGACCAGAGGTACGCACCACCTCGAGCGGGTAGTTTTTGACTCCGTCGGGGTCACGCGGGGTCACGCACGGCACCGCGGTGGGTGCTGGGAGCGCGGCGCGCAATGGCGACGCCCAGCCTACGGGGACGCCTAGTGCGGCTTGCGAACCCGCGGAAACCTACACTGAAGCCCAACAAACCTCTCATCCTAGCTAACCGCGTTGGAGAGCGGCGCCGGGAGAAGGGAGGTGAGCAGTGGGAACCGGGGAGGCTCCGGAGCGGAAACTGGACTGGGGAAGGGACGGCTGGGAAGGTGAACTCACTGTGACTTGAAGGTTCCCAGTTCTTCCTCTCCAGAGGCAACATGTATCACAGAGATGTCGGTGATGATGGCTTGCTGGAAACAGAATGAATTCCGCGACAGTGCGTGCAAAAAAGAGATCCAAGACTTCTTTGAGTGTGCTTCGAAGGCCCAGGTGACATTTCCTTGGGTGCATTCTCGGGAAGAAAATGGGGAATACAATTTATAATTCTTTCAGCCTTCTTCCAGGTGATAGGAAAGATCCCCATTCACTTGAGGGCCACTTCACACGCCAGCATGGGAAAAGTTATAGGTTTTGTTCTTTTTTGTTGTTGTTGTTTTGGAAGGGGGATTCGTTTTTTAGACAGTGTCTTGCTATGTAGTTCAGGCAGCCCGGGAAAGTACTATGTAGCCCAGGCTGGCCTTGATCGATAGCAGTCTTCCTGCCTTAGCCTCCCAAGTGCTGGGATTACATTGTGGGCCACCATGTCTGGTGATTAGGTTTTTTTTTTTTTTTTTTTTTTTTTTGGTCTTTTTCCTTTTTATCGGTATCAGGGATCGAACTCACGACTGCCTGCTTACAAGGCAGGCGCTTATGCCACTGAGCTAAATCCCCAGCCCCTGGTGATTAGTTTTTAAGGCTATGTGATCATGACCTAATTATTTCAATTCTCTGGACTTAAGCGTTACTATAATTCTATCATGAGATTGAATTAATACTGCATTATAGGATTTTCTGAGTGTGAGGGCTGGGCGTGGTGCCGCACTCTTGTAATCCCAGCACTCAGGAGGCTGAGGCTGGAGGGAGGCTGAGGCGGGAGGATCCTTGCAAGTTCGAGCCCAGCCTGAGCTACAAAGTAAGCCCAAAGCCAGCCTGAACCACATAACAAGATCCTGTCTCAAAAAGACAGACAGACACGTTTTTTCTGAGTGTGAAGTTAAGTAGTGAATGGGAAAATTACTTTGACAAATTTAAATTGCTGGTTAGGTAGTTGCTGTTTGGAGCAGAACTGAAGATAGTGAAACTAAGGATTGTTGGTTTCTAGCCTTGATTTAACTGTTAGCTAGCATAGTAGTTTCAAATCATACCTTTGTAGGTTCCAAGTCCCTTTTGTTGAGAAGGATTGTTGTCCATCTCTTGGGACTGGTTAGCATCTTACTGTGCTTTAGATATTTTAAAAACTGAATCTCATGCCTCAAGTGGTGGTATACATCTGTAAGCCTCAAGAGGCTGAGGCAGGAGTATTGATGTGACTTAAAGGCCAGCCTGAATTGCATAGAGAGACCCTGTTTCAAAAAACTCCAATTAAACAAACAAATAAACAAAAGCTAAAACTATGGGCCTAGGTCAGGGCAAACTTCATATATACTATTTTTGTTCTGTATTTTCAGGAAGCCCGAAAGATGAGATCAAGCCAGGAGACCCTGGGAGAATCTGGAAGTTTACTTCCCAAGAAAGTGAATAAGTTGTTACAGAGGTTTCCTAATAAACCGTATCTCATATGAAAATGGAAAAACATTTTCAGTGATTGTACTGTCATTTCTGAGAACTGTGCAGAGGTATTTTAAAAATATTTGCACTGCTATGCCTCTTTTGAAGGGTAAAATGAGGCAAATACTTCTTTTCACTCATCAGAGCGGTCTGGATGAAGTTATGCTTTATCTTGAAATAAAATTTTCTGAAGAGTGATTGGGTTTTCTTGTGAATTAAATATTCTCTTCTTCCTTTCTTCCCCAGTGCTGAGGATGGAACCCAGGGCGTCTCAAATGCTAGGCAAGTGCTCTACTACTGAGCCATACTTCCCAGCCCTCCCTTCTTTTTTTTGAGCCTTGTATTCTCTGCATCCTGGAAGTTCTTTGTTTCCTGACCTGCCCTAGGATTTCTCTTCCTGCTTTTGAAGCCCTTCACACCATTTAGTGCTTTTGTCTTTGGATGAATTAAGGACACTGAAGTCTATGTTTATGTAGGGCTTTTGTTATCATCTCTACTTAATGATCATATTTTTTGTATAGCCCCTATAAGATGTTCCTTGAATAAAGTCCACAATTTGGTGGCTCAGAGTTTCTGGAGATACATTTTTTTGACTCATGTAGTTAAAAATGTTTTTAAATTACTTATCCACGAAAAGGAAAAACATGTTTGCAGTTTTTTAAATTAAAAACTTTTTAACAACTTTTTTTTTTTTTTTTTTTGACAAGGAGGATCTCACTATATATTTCAGGCTGGCCTCAAACTTGTCTTGATTCAGCCTCTCCAGTGCTGGGATTATAGGCATGTAAATACTCAATTCTAGTAACTATTTTCTTATTTTATTTGGCAATAAGGTAGAGCTGATTGTTTCAGTATTCAGGTGATCCCCCCCCCACCACCACTTCTATGCTTTCCCAAATTATAAAATGCATTTGATTGCCTTTTTTTTTCTTTTTTGGGGAGGGTACTGAGGCTTGAACTCGCAACCTTGCGCTTGCCAGGCAGGCACTTATGCCACTGAGTTAAATCCCCAATTTGATTGCCTTTTTTGTGTATTAACCTATTCATTTTTTTCTTGGTCTTGGGGATTGAACTCATGACCTTGTGCTTGCCAAGCAAGCACTAACCTATTTACTTTTCCAAGTTACCTGTTGGCTGCTGAAGGTGTTTTAAGTTCTGAGGTTAGGTACAATTGCATAGTATTTTATGTGTACTCTGCCTTTTCAAGACATAAATGAATTAATTTTTCTGATGTACCTTGTAGTATGATGTATTTAATGTTCCAGGAGATAGTTATTAAGTTAAATAGAAATCTTGTCCCCTCCATTTGCTACCTCTTTCCATTGTCCTCATGCCTCACTATTGAACTCCTGCTGCAAACAGGTATTTTTGTTTGTCTTGTTTTTTGGTAGTATTGGGAACGGCATATAGGACCCTCCCCCGAAGCCAAATCCTAGCCTTTTATTTTTTTTATTTTGAGACAGGGTCTTGCTGAGTTGCCCAGACTGTGCTCAGACTTGTGATTCTTCTGTCTCAGCCTCCCAGAGTGCTGAGATTATAGGCATGTACACCTTCCTTGTAAACTGAGCCTTTTAGGTTACTGAAAGACTCTGTTTAGCCACTTTGGTTGTGAAATTGAATGGGGGAAAATACATCCTTAACCACAAGTGAAATTTAGCACTATAGGTAACTAACCACAGTATTATTAGTAGTACTGAATGAAATCATGCTTTTGTTGTTACTGCTTTTTTGGTGCTGGGGATTAAGGGCAGGGCCTTGTGCATGCTTTACTGTCTACCACTGAGGTGTTCTTCCAGCCCTACTCATGGTTGTAAATGGTTGATACATTGTGTCAACCTGAGAAGTCTAGAAGCTTAGCTAAGTAGCTCAGCAGTTCTATATGCCAGGGTGTAGAGGAGTGCTTTTACTGTGCTACCATGTTCATTGTGTCAAATTGAGAAGTTTAGAAGTTTAAGTGACTCAGCAAGGGGCCAGAGTCCTCACTTAGTAAACATTCTGAGCCTGGCCAAAAGAAGGGCATGGAGATGGTATGAGTGTGCAGCACCCACCAGAGAGCCAGTAGACTCCATAAAATTAAGGGAGGAAAAGGGGCTTGTTCCCCCATTTTGCTTTTGTGGCTTTCGTTGTCTTCCGTGGCCTTAAATTGTTGCCACCTTGCTTTGGAGCCAGCTGATTACAGACTGAAACCACCAAAAACTGAGCTAAATAAATCTTTCCTTCCTTTGGGGCCACAGGTATTTTGTCTCAGCAAGGAGAGAGGTAACCAAGGCAATGGTAAACAACATATTATAGTTTATTATAAGCTCAAGATATAATTCATAGTCATCATTAGGTTCATAACTAGTATCTACTACACTTCCCTGCTAAATTTGTGTACATATTTTTTCCCCTGCTGTGGATTGGATCCAGGCCCTCATGTATGCCAGACAAACACTCCTCCACTGAACTTCATCTCCAGCCTAATACTGTCATTTACTGTGCAAATAAGGAAACACTACTATATTACACATTTGTTTTATTAATAATTTATTTTTCTTTCAACATAATGTCCTTTATAATTCTTGTATTTTGTGCACTTACAATTTGGGGGAGTCATAGACTTCACTAGACTAATAAAGTGTCTATTAAAAGAAAAAAAAAGGCTAAGAATTCCTAGATTCAAAGACCATACTGACCAAAAAAGGACCATTTCCTGAAATCAAAGGTCTTTCTTGGTACTTACCCAGTTAATCCTTTGAAGTCTGGATTTTAGGCTTCTAGACTACAATTCCCAGAAGGTGATTCGCCCCTATGGCCTATCCGGAGTTAGGACAATAACTCCGTCTAATGGTTCCTGTGCTGTTTCTTGACAGCCTACGATTCCCGACACGCACGGCGGCTGTTTATTCCTTAGGGATATTAGGGACATCGAGGTATAGCTAGAATCTGAAGTTGTTTTGTTTGTATCTCCTGAGGTTGACTTCCTCTTGTGGTGTCTTCCGAGTGGGCTCGAGAGAGAAAGAAAGAAAAAAAAAAAAAAAATGGCAGGAAGTGCAGTCATGAAAGAAACGTGTCCCCTACACCCGCCCGTACCCGGTCCAGTTCAAAAGCTCGCGAGGGCGGAAGTAGTGATGGCCGGCGCGGCCGGAAGTTCAGATCAGCTGATGGGGGAGGCGGCGCCGCAGCCTCTTAGAGGCCCCGGCCGTCCAGCGCTTCGTCCGGGCCCCGAGTCTCGGAGACTGGCCATAATCCCCTTTCGAACCTCGCTGTTGGGCAAGGCCCATTCCCGTATCTCTCCCAGGCCCGAGATCCTTCCCCGGCACGGCCGCCCTGAGCGCCCCGGCCACCCCCAGCCCCGGCTCGCCCCTCAGGCCCCGGGCCTCCCCTCAGTCCCCGGCCGGCGGCCCAGGCCCCGGATCCGCGGGGGGGGACCCGGCCCCAGGGGGTGCGGGCCCCATGGAGCTGATGTTCGCGGAGTGGGAGGACGGAGAGCGCTTCTCATTCGAGGATTCCGATCGCTTTGAGGAGGATTCACTCTGTTCCTTCATCTCTGAAGCCGAGAGCCTTTGCCAGAACTGGCGGGGATGGCGCAAACAGTCAGCGGGGCCCAATTCCCCCACCGGCGGCGGCGGAGGAGGTGGCAGCGGTGGTACCAGAATGCGAGGTGAGGGTGCTAGGGGGCAGGGGAGCGGGACAGGACTTGCTCGGGAGCTGTCTGGGACCTGGAGCTAAACCCGAGTTTAGGACGAACTTCAGGACTTGCTTTTCTGGCCCTCTAAGGGTGGGCTGGCCTCTCCACGCCCGTGTGTGTGTGTGTGTGTGTGTGTGTGTGTGTGTGTGTGCGCGCGCGCGCGCGCGCGAGAGGGAGAGAGAGACAATATCAGCGTCGAGGCAGGGAAATCCTGAGTTGTACACAAGGATCTTTTGAAGTTAACTTTGAGTTAGAGGTGGGAATGATGGGGCCGGGGAAGAATGGGCTCTCAGAACTGGAAATACTTCACTGAGTTCAGCGTTTGCTAAACCAGAAGTAGACACAGAAGAATGTGCTTAAGGAGCAGATTGTAAAGAAGTGACCACTCGAGGTGTGTCACTGTGTTGCAAAGTGCAGAAGAACTTCTACTTTGAGGAGAAGTTAACCCTCACTGCTCTAAGGAAAGATCCCATCCAGAGGAATGTGGAGGGGAACTGTGAGAGGAGATTCTGTGGTTCATAAGATTTGACTAGAGGCTTGCTCCTGGCGATGTTGAACATCTGTCAGAAGCCGAGGTTTTTACTAGCCTTAGATATCCATAATAGCCTTTGGGATCTCCTTTGCTGTAAGTTTCTTTCATCCTTGATCTTTTAGTGAAATAACTGCCGCGCTATGAATAATTTTGTGTTTGTTAAAAGGAGAATGAACGTAAGAGAAGCTCCACAGGCTTGAGGCTCATCAAATCCTGTCTCTGTCTTATGGCAGTTTTTGTCCTGGGCCTTAGTAGAGGCTGGCTGTCTTCAGTGGTTGAGGGGTTTAATTCTATTCACAGCATTTTAAGGTTCTGTATTCCAAGCTCCCTGTGGATATTTTTGGTGCCCTTTTGGGACAGAAATTTACATATGTCACTTTTTAGTGGTAGTATTTATCCTCAGCTGGAGACACAGCACAGGCTTTGTGTATGCATACACACCAGACACAAGCAGTTTTACTGTTAAGTCTTCTCTGGTTTCCCTGCTTCTTTCATATTTGCATGTGTGGGTGGCCTTGAGGCTTACAGCTCCCTCACTTTGGGGGAAGTAACTGAAATCATAATGGTGAAGATTTTCAACATATGACATCTTCCTGAAAAGGTTAAAATCTGAGAAAGCTTGCCATTTCCGCCCCACCCCTTCCACTTACTCTGGCTACCTTCAGTAGCTTAACTAAACAGGTTATTTTTCTTTCAGTTGCTTAATTAAACAGGCTTACTTTTTCAGTTCTATAATTTTGTAATCTCTCTTCCAGTGTGACTGGCCATCATGTGAGATGTGCTGTCAGTCATTTTATCACTGCTTTTTTGAGTGAAAGAATGTTGAAAACCTAGAGTGCTAACTCCATCTATCCCACACCAGATGATTGTGGGAGCAGTAGCTAAGGTTCCTGGGATAGCCTTTTCCCTCTCATTCTTTCAGGGTATGAAGTCAGGTTTTAGGGGTGGCAGAGACAGTGAAGACTATTGCTTGAGGTCACTGCTTAACTATTCTGTGCTCTGGCCTGTCTTCCCTCCCTTGACAGGGCCTGTAGTCATCTAGAGATGAAAGCATAGTAAAAAGGCATTCAGAGATGAGGATGCCAAAGGAGAGACATTAACAGTGTAGTGTGAACTTAAAGTGCTTGGAGTATGTAGAAAATTTGATGACAAGCACTGTGAGCAGGTTACCTACTGTGGTCCTAGAATGCACCTCGGAACTCCCTGACATCTTCTGTTCTTCTGAGGCCAAGGTAGCAGCCTGTGGCCTGGGGATTCCTCAGCCTCCAGAAGGAGTTTTAAGGGTTAGAGTTCCAGGTCTTCCTTTTCTTTTATAGTAGAGATGCGCCCTAGGATGTGGCAGTGGCAGTGCTGCTAAGTAAGTATGGCCCTTCTCATTTCTCTGTCTTTTTCACTAACTCCAACCTTTGTATCTAAAGATGGACTGGTGATTCCATTGGTGGAGCTGTCAGCAAAGCAGGTGGCATTTCACATCCCGTTTGAAGTGGTGGAGAAAGTTTACCCTCCAGTGCCTGAACAACTCCAGCTCCGAATTGCCTTTTGGAGTTTTCCTGAGAATGAAGAAGACATTCGGTGAGGCCAAAGGACTGATGGTGGGGTGTGAGGTCCTGGTGTCCCACACAGTCTGCGGGGCTTTACACAGAATAAAGAAAATACTGTGTTTGGAGAGGAAGCTAAGGGAGGGAAGGTGTGCCTGGGAGTTTCCCCAAGAAGGCTGAGGATGGGTCTGCGAAGGGTTATTGACTAGGTTGTGACCATGGGCTTTTATTCACCCCCTAGGCTGTATTCATGCCTGGCCAATGGCAGCGCAGATGAGTTCCAGCGAGGGGATCAACTCTTCCGCATGAGAGCTGTAAAGGACCCACTACAGATAGGTAAGAGTCCCATCATGCCCTGTGGCAGCTTGTTACTCCCATCACAAATTATGGAGAAACCAGAGCAGATTGTATGTGTGAATAACTACAGGGCCAGGGTCAAGGGTAGAGACCCAGGTCTTGGCAGTTCTCCCTGACCATGCCTGTATTTTCCCCAGGGTTCCACCTGAGTGCTACAGTGGTGCCACCTCAGATGGTCCCTCCCAAAGGGGCCTACAACGTGGCTGTGATGTTTGACCGCTGCCGGGTCACTTCCTGCAGCTGTACCTGTGGGGCTGGGGCCAAATGGTGTACCCATGTCGTGGCACTCTGTCTCTTCCGCATCCACAACGTGAGGCCCTCCCAATTTATCCTGGCCCTATCCTCCGATCCATCCCCCCCTTCTCTGCTGCATGCCCAGCCACAATGTGAGCCCCCTGCCTCCCCTACTCTGCCTGTCTGTCCCTGGTGCTACCTTCAATAAGCCTTTTCTCAGATGCCTGTTTTTTTCTGTTTTCCTTTCAGGCTTCTGCAGTATGCCTGCGAGCCCCCGTTTCGGAGTCCCTGTCTCGGCTTCAGAGGGACCAGTTGCAGAAGTTCGCTCAGTACCTCATCAGCGAGCTCCCTCAGCAGGTAAATAAGCTTGGCCCACCCTCTACCCACCAGCTGCAAGGCTGCGTGCCAGGCTTCCTGTGAGCCCTACCCTCGCTGGGTTCGCCTGTGCCTTGTTCTTTCTACCTTTGTTCCTTTTCCCTTAGATCCTCCCCACAGCCCAGCGCCTCCTAGATGAACTTCTCTCCTCCCAGTCAACAGCCATCAATACTGTGTGTGGAGCCCCAGGTAAGAAGGGCAGTGGGAAGGAAGCAAGCTGTTAGGGCAGAGTGCTGCTTGCTGAAGGCTCATCCTTGGCAGGTGAATCTAGGCCCTGTCAGTAGGTGACTGACCACCTGTTATTCCCAGACCCCACAGCTGGGCCTTCAGCGTCAGACCAGAGCACTTGGTATTTGGATGAATCAACGCTCACTGACAACATCAAGAAGACGCTGCACAAGTTCTGTGGCCCTTCCCCTGTGGTCTTCAGGTAAACTGATCTCTTTATAGTGAGTCAGGCTGCTGATGGAGTCTTTGTTCTGTTAGTACCCATATCACAACCTTCTCTTCCCTGCACTGACAGGATGCCTGGCGTTGTGGGTGCTGATGATCTTGGACACTCATAGTGTGGTCTGGTTTTTGTCTAGGGAGAGCAAGAGTCTTTTTTTTTTTCTGTTACAGATTGGGAAATTGAGGCAGGGAAAGATGTAAGATGCTGTGGCCACCCTTTTCCCTCTCTATTCTGTATTTTGGGTCAGAGCCTTGTTGTGCTTTCACCTGGTTTATTCAGCTCCATCTCAGTTGCCCTCTTCCGGCTGCAACTTTTCCAGCGATGTGAACTCCATGTACCTGTCTTCCACGGAGCCTCCGGCTGCAGCTGAGTGGGCCTGTCTGCTGCGCCCGCTGAGAGGCCGCGAGCCGGAGGGTGTCTGGAACCTGCTCAGCATTGTGCGGGAGATGTTCAAGCGGAGGGACAGCAATGCTGCCCCCTTGCTGGAAATCCTCACGGATCAGTGCCTCACATATGAACAGGTAACCCTCAGGCTTGGGCAGTGCCATGTGGCACTTTGCATCTCCCTCAGCGTTGTGGTCCCCTTCCTGACTTCCTGATGGAGACACTGGGCAGCCTGGCCTGAGCTTCTGAGCTGTCAGGCATATCTCACAGCCTTCTCTGTCTCCAGATAACAGGTTGGTGGTACAGTGTGCGCACTTCAGCCTCACACAGCAGTGCCAGTGGGCACACGGGCCGAAGCAATGGACAGTCAGAGGTGGCGGCCCACGCATGTGCCAGCATGTGTGACGAGATGGTCACATTGTGGAGGCTGGCTGTGTTGGATCCTGCCCTCAGCCCCCAGCGGTGAGTGTCCCCCAGGGTAATCACAGCACTGACA